GACGCGCTTCAGACGCGTAGTTTGGGAGTTTCGGTACTCTGAAAGCGTAGCTTTATTTAGTGACTCTACTCGGCCTGTGAATTTAAGTGTCAGTAAGCATTTGGTGAATTTTCTCGCTTGCCTTTTGTTCTCGCGTGCTTTTTGCTGTGAAAGTGCTTTGAATCGTTTTGGAGGCACATGATTTTGCTGGACTTTATGGGAGCGAGAGTCTGCCACCACGGCCAGAGGCCGCTACCAACAGTAGAGCGCGCTTGCAACTGAGGTTCAATCTGACTTACACCAAAGAAGAAACATATCTGCCTTGTCAACAATGATCCACGTCATGTAAACACATTGTCCAATAATCTACATATAATCTTTCTAGCTTGAGCTAACAAAGGACTGTAGATATGCCACCTCAGAATCGTACAATGCTATTGATGGGGTGCTAATGCACGTGTCGCCGTCGCACAATTCCTTGTGAAAAACGCCTCCGACATCTCCCTAGTCGTTTTGTTACGATTCCTGCTCAGGATAACAGTTTCCTGAAGCTATGGGCCACAATCGCATCGGTTGCACTGTATCGCAAGATTACCCGAGGGCGAAGATCTTACTGCCAGTGCGTGTTCCCTTAGTCTGTCGTTGATGCAACTTCCGGTTTGTCCTATGTAAACCCTCCCACACGTTAAAGGTATTCTACACACCACCCCCTCCTTGCACTCCACATATTTAGTTTCATGCTTCTTCTTACATATACCCACCCTCAAATCTCCCCTTTCTATTCTTGCACACAGTTTGCACAATTTCTGAGGCGTTGAGAGTAGTACCGGTACTTCATGTTTTTCGCCCACTTTCTTCATACTATGGCTAAATTTGTGCACATATGGTATCATGGTCGGTCTAACTTTCCGCCTGACCTTCCCCCTACCCCTTCACCCTCCTCGAAGTTTTCGTAACAATCTTTCTGCCACGTGTTTAATAAGCGTAAGAGGGTACCCTCCATCCTCTAGTTTCTTCACCTGTATACCAAAGCCCTCCGCCATTTTGTTTGAGTACGATTTAGTCAGCGAGGCTCCCAAGCACGTAGTGGCAATACCTCTCTTAATAATTTTAGAGTGGTTTGAGTTTTAGAGTAACACCGCTTTCCTTGCTCTGGGGGAGTAAATCCAACATACATGGGGTGGCTTAAATATCAGTTTCGTTTCAGGTCCAAAAGTTGTAAAATGCACTGTACAGGATCGTCTGCAGTGAAACTCAGACCGGCGGCGCAATTCCTAAAAACATCAAACGTTTTTTTGTTTTTTTTTTAAAGTAAACTTTGCTTTTTTATTTTCCTCCCCCGAGTGTAACAGTACCAGGCAGTCGTCTACATACCTAAATATTCGGATGATATTACTATCTAGTTTAGCTTCAATATGTCGCTCGTATTTTGCCAAAATTAACTCACTCAGCACTGGAGCCATGTTCGTCCCAATACATATACCGTCCTTCTGCATGAATTGCGAACCTTCAAACGCAATATAGGTGGACTCCAGGTAGAAGTTCAACTTCTCCAAGAAGCTCCTTCCATGGATACCACATTCATTTTGGAACTTAACTTCCCCATATGTATCGACCTCTTCTCGTATACTTTCGAAGAGTTCCCTATGAGATATCGCGTAAAACAGGTTTCCCACACCAAAGGAAGCCGCGTGACAGAAACCTTTGTTAAGATCTCTCAGGAATTGAACCACGCCCTCTTAGTTACATACCTTGAAGGGGTCCTGGCACTGAAGACATTGTCATTGAAGATAAGACGACATCTGTAGTTGCAATGATCCCTTTTTTTTCAAATTCAAATTCAAATTCAAATTGTTTATTTGACATTCCTTGTCGAACAAAAAATGCCAGGGCAGGAACAAAAAGCTACAATACAGTAGCTTGACGGGGTTCCTGCCCCTACCTTGGCATAAGAAACAACCAAACCGACAGTTTAAAATTGACAAGACATATACACAGAAATTCAAACTATGAAAAATATACATGTAACCAATTTACATCAAATATAAACTAATACTGACATCGTGCACACTAAAACATGTATTCCGACAGTTCTATACAGGAAAGATATAAAGCAAATACAACAAAATTTTTGCACAATTATTCACTGTGTGAAAAAGTGTTCTTTCAATGTTTTTTTACAAATGGTGTGTATATCAAGGTTCCTTTTCTCTAAAGAGTTTAGACAACTAGGCATGCGGTGTTGCAGCCTGTCTAACCCATGATTAGTACGGGAAAAGGGTACCAGCCAGGAATCCTTTTTTCTAATATTATACGATGCATCATGAGGCCTTTTAAGGTTACACAACTTGATAAAAGTGGAATTGTTATTTTTAATGCTAAGTTTATATTTCATTATTAGATTAAAATTGTATAAGTGCTGGAAGGGAAGCACATTGAGTGAAGCAAATAATTCTTTTGTGTGGGCATCGTATGGGGCATTTACTATATGACGAATAGCTTTTTTTTGTAATAAATGCAACTTAGTTTTGTTAGCTTGCGACGTCACTCCCCAGACAAGGTTGCAGTAGTTTATATGGGATGCAAAAAGAGAGTTGTAGAGCATTAGCTTGACTTTAGTTGTTAGTATTTGTCTGAATCTACAAAGTATACCGCAAGCCTTTGCCAAGGTCCCAGCAACACGGTCCACGTGTGCATTCCAGCTTAAATGTTGATTAAAAGTTATTCCCAGTGTTTTGACTTCATTTGTAACTTTTATCATTTCTGATCCAAGCTGTATATTAATATCGCGAGTTATTAATTTTTGCACAGGCGCAAATAGTACGGCTTTTGTTTTTGAAACATTAATTTCTAAGACGTTTACCCTTGTCCACTCAAGCAGTTTATTCAGAGTAACATTTGCCAAACTAACGAGATCATTAATGTTATTTGACTGGAAAAAAAGACTGGTATCATCTGCGTAAATTAAGCAATTTGTGCACTCAATGGAATTTATTATATCGTTGATGTAAATATTAAACAACACTGGTCCCAATACACTTCCTTGTGGGACTCCCGAATGGACACTTAGAAGAGGAGAGCGTTTTTCGTTAATTACAACACATTGTTTTCTATGAGTTAAGTATGATTTTAGAAGGTCGCCAGGGATTCCTCGGAAACCGTAATGATCTAGTTTAGTGGATAGTATTACGTGATTAACTCTATCAAATGCTTTTGAGAAATCAATAAAAATACCTAATGTCAATTTATTGTTCTCAAATCCGTTTAGTATGAATTCTTTTTGTGTCAGTAAAGCTAATTCAGTCGACATGCCTCGACGGAAACCGAATTGCCGCTCCGTAAGTATTGAGTGCTTGTCGCAGAAGGAAGAGACTCTTTTGCATATAATCTTTTCTAAACCCTTCGAAATAACAGGCAGTACTGAAACCGGACGATAATTCGAAAAGTCATTTTTATCGCCAGATTTAAACAAGACACTCACTCTAGCGCGCTGCATGCTTTCTGGAAAAGTCCCCGTGAGTAAACAAGTGTTGAAAATATAACAAAGCACAGGCGCTAAGATGTCTAATACAAACTTTATAGGTTTAATTTCTAAATCATCAATGTCACGGGCCTTGCTATTTTTGAGTGTCATAAAAGTAGAGCAGATTTCCTCACAGGTTGTCGGCGCAAAAAATGCCGTATTTGAGTTAGGCGTTCCTAGAAGTCGTTTTACTCCACTGCTATCAGTTCCAGACACCACTGAGACTAAGTTCGTAAAATATTTGTTAAACGCATCTGCAAGCTCATTGCCCACTACTGTTTTATTATTTACTGTTAAGCGTAGTTCTTCATTATGGTGAGAACCACAGTTTAAAAGTTTGTTGATTTCGCGCCACACCACCTCACTCTGAGTACTTGAGAATACATTCTCGTAATATGCTTTTTTAGAGCTACGCAAAACTTTCGTCACAAAATTTCTATATTTTTTGAATTTGGAAAGATCATTCAAGTTTCTCGTTTTGACAAATTTCGAATATAAAACATCTCTTTTCTTGACCATTCTAAAGCAATCATCTGACATCCAAGGCTTCCGTAATTTTTTAGATTTCCTTACTTCCTTTAGTTTAAAGCAAGTATAATAAACCTGCTTAATGATGGCTATGAAATGTTCATAAGCTTCCTCAGCATTTGTAGATTCAAGCACTATACTCCAGTCTATGTTTGTGATTTCACCTCGAAAAATTTCCAAAGTTTTGGCATTAATTTCTCGCATTATATACGACTCAGTATGTCGTGCCTTTCCCTTGAAAAATTCACTATCTTTAAAAGACATGTAAATTGGAAAATGATCACTTAGACATGTTATAACCCTACCCGACGTTACATCGTCATTCATGTTATTTGTCAAAAACAAGTCCAGAAGGCTTTCAGAGTGACAGCTAATTCGCGTGGGCTCAGATATAACATTCCTACAGGAGAAGGATTCAATAAGTACCTGAAATTCACGTGTGGCTGCCGTATTCTGCAATAGATTTATGTTGCAGTCGCCGCCTATAATAACGCGCAAACCATTTGTACTCACAAAGTCTAACAACCTATCCAGAAAATCAAAAAAAAATTTTAGATTTCCGTTAGGAGGGCGATAGATGACAGCAAATACATATGTTTTGTATTGAAGTGTCAGAGCTTCATAATCTATGTTAATTTTTGAAAAATCTGATAGCAGGCTGCATGACAATTGCTCAGACACAAACTGCAGCACACCACCACCACGTCGATCATGTCTGTTTAAGAAAAAACTCTTGTATCCAGGTAGGCTTAGTACATCGCCTTCGCATGAGTACCATGTTTCGGTAATCATAATAACTTGAAACTTAAAGCGAAGTTCACCAAGAAACATGGTCAGTTCATCATCCTTATTTCGTGCAGACTGTGCATTACAATGCAGAAAGGCTAAACAATCACTGCTACGAGGGCGCGCGATATCTCTAGGTGCAGCCATCAAAAAAAGAAACAGATAAGCATGCAGAAAATGCGGACTAAGCCTCGTTAGGGCCTGCAGCTGTGTCACTCATTTTCGCCAGGTCGGTTTCACAAGTAATTTGGATTGCGCGGGATGTTTCTGTTTTTCGCACGAACACTTTGCCGTTTTTTGTCCACGCGAAGCGCCAATTCATTTCCCTCTTTTTTGCAATTGTCATTCCTAGCAGCTTTTTTAGTTTCGGGCACAGTTGCTCGTTCAAAAAGATTGGCTGTCTCACGGAGAAGCCTATTTCATCCGTTGTAACCCTTATCTTTCGTGCCTTCCCAAGGACTGCGTCACGCTTATCACGACTCTTGAAGACCACCACAATGTTGGAGGTTGTACCGGCGTTTACACCTGAGTTTTGACGACGATCGCCTTCAGCACTTTGGCCGGAATTACTGCTCTGGCTTGCAGTACTGTTCCGTACAGGAACACGGTGGCAGATCTCAACATCGTCCCCCGTTATAGGTTCCTCAAGTGCACCGCCAACCTTACCAAGCACTTCGACTAGGTCCTCGTTGCTGTCGTGAGGAATGCCTTTTATTTCAATTTTTTTTTTTCTGGAGTATTGATCCAGAGTCGTTATACGCATGGCGTTTTCGTTTGCCAGGATTTTGAGTTGTCCAAGCTCATGCGCCATCTGCTCGTTTAATGCTTTGAGGGTGGCATTTTCTTTCTTTAGGTCAGCACATTCTTTCCGGAATGTTTCAACATCTTTGTTCATGTACTCTAAGCTAGCCTTCAGCTCTCTAACTTCCCTGCGCACCTCACGTTTAAGGTCAGCAATGTCACTTCCCATTGCACACAATCAGCGCGTATTACAGTACCAATACACAAAATAATGAAGAACAGTTGGCAGCAGGGGCAACGGAGATAATAAAAAACAATTTTAGATATACAAATTGCAACAAAGTATCACAGCCCCACCTGCGAAATAAGTTGAAAGTCAGCGTCCGTTCGGTCCGTCGCCTCCGCTGCCAAGTGATCGCCGAAGTGGCCGCGGTGTCCTTTTCACGAGAACGGAACCAGGATGGCCAAGCACGTGATCCCACGAGGGCGGGCCGTACAGTGCAGTTGCACTCGTCGTTTGGCTTCTGGTGATTGTTCGCTGCTATCTTCGCTTGCCACGGGATGCTGTTGAAGTCTGCGAAATAAGTTGAAAGTCAGCGTCCGTTCGGTCCGTCGCCTCCGCTGCCAAGTGATCGCCGAAGTGGCCGCGGTGTCCTTTTCACGAGAACGGAACCAGGATGGCCAAGCACGTGATCCCACGAGGGCGGGCCGTACAGTGCAGTTGCACTCGTCGTTTGGCTTCTGGTGATTGTTCGCTGCTATCTTCGCTTGCCACGGGATGCTGTTGAAGTCTGCGAAATAAGTTGAAAGTCAGCGTCCGTTCGGTCCGTCGCCTCCGCTGCCAAGTTTGTGTAACTATAGACCTCAATGGCATACTCTCCTTATGTGTTTTTACTGAGAAAAAAAATCTTAAGATGAAATTCCTTAGCCTGTACTATTGAGGCCTTTAGCCTGTCAAGGCCCAGACTGTGACACATTTCGACGCCCTATCCTTTACCTTCGTGAGGAAGATCTTTTTCACTTGCTTAAAATCCTTTATGACCGCCTGTTTACTTCTTTCTAAAAAATCAGCCTCGGGAACCATGACAAAGCTACCCTACTTATCAGCCACCAGTAGCTTGAGTCCCTCTTTCAAACCGTAGGAGACAACCCGCTCCACCTTATGCCTTTCTGAGGTCCGACCCCTATCTCCCGGGGTAGTACATCCACTCCGTCTAATATACATCTATTTCTGTCCGTTTGCACTATTCTTTCGCCTACATTTCTGACAAGTGCGAGCAGTCCCTGTGGCTGTAGGTTCGATTCACAGTCAAGCTTGGCACCTTTTACCAAACTCTTTACGATCGCTTCAGGTGCTTTGGCGTCCTCCATCATCACCACGTTGCACACGCCGCTCTTCTTTCCTCTCGTAGGCTTGGGCAACGCCATCCGTAGACGCCATAAAAATTCTGTGCTACTTCCAGCTTGCCGGCAACATTCCCTGAACTTCCACTCCTCCAGCTTCTCGTCCTTATAGACAGAATAGCACCATACCTTGAGGCCCTCTTGAAGTCTCGCCTGCCTTCAGATTTCAGCGCGAGAAGGTGGCAAAGCACAAAAACTCGAGAGATTGCCAGCTTGGCTCAAATGTACATTAAAACAATCTAGCGAAAAATCGCCCAGAAACAGAAGGCGCCTTCGCAATCCAGAATTACATGACGGAGCATCTCAAACTCACCAAACAAACCGCAGTTGGATCTAATTGGAAGGTAGAGGCCGTTGTTTTCGAACCATGATTTCACTGGCAGTGTTTTTGTGTGAAAACTGATGAAGAAGTCCTTGGTTTTGGAGGAGACAGCCAGGCTGCGCCATCACGTGAGGAGATGTTTTCCGGCGGATGATTCAAAACCCTTTGTGCACAAAGGTTCTCGAAACATGCTGCTAACTGTGTCCCAAAAGGTTTTCCTCTTTTTCACTTGCTAGAGATACTCCCACAAGTACCTCGATTCAAAGAATTTTGACGCCTCGACAATTTCCTTGTAGAACCGCAGGCGCTTAACTCTCAGCGGTTGCTCCAATGTGCCAGCTACCCAGTGGCTAGGGTGCGCGCCTTCAAAGTTATGGTAGGACCACCGCGTAATTTCATCATTTGTGTATCTGAACAAAAAGAACCGACATGTTTTCACTTAAAGGGCCACATGCATCAAGGCGAATTCCCCATTCTTGAGGTTAAGGAACGCATTTGTGCACTTCGTTTTCTTCCATCGGCGACCACCAAACAAATGCTGCGAAGTGCTGTTATGCCTTGGACACTGTGCTGGCGTCGACTGGATTAGCCTGGGCCGTATACATCAAACAAAAAGAGGAAACAGGGTAACACAAAAAGCTTCGCTGGATAAAATGTTCCATCTTATCCTTCTTATCCAGCAAAGCTTCGTGTGTAACACAAAGATGGCATCTTCTGAAACGTGACCGACGTTTCATACCTAGAACTTTATCCCTAACACGCCTAATGGCGTTCAGTCGCAGTTACTCAGCCACGCTCCTGGAGATTTGTCTAGGTTAAGACGAGATTCCGATATGGCACAAAACCCTTGAATTATGTCCATAGCCCTCAAAGTCCCTTCTCTTTCGGAAAAGATAACAGAAACATCATGCGCGAACACTCGGACTTTCAGGTGTTTAGCTGGCAGTTGAAGCCCTCGGATTCCTTCATTTATTTAGATAGCCTGACACAGTGGATCTAAGTAGACCGCAAGTAGCAGAAGGGAAACGGGCATCCCTGCCTGACTGACAATTGTACGTTGATTTTTCCTGATGTTGGACCGTTTACTAATATTCTGGTGGATATGAAGTTGTAGCACAAGTGTACCCAATCGGAAAGAACATTGCCTATGTTAATGCATTTTACGGCCACGGGAAAACAAGAATTCATGGTCCACTCGGTCGAAAGCACGACTCGTCAATCTGAAGGACCGCAAGGGGCATTTTGAACACTTCAGCCACTTCGCATATTGTTCGTATTGCGTGGAGGCTGTGCTCAAATGAACGCGACTTCAACGCGTAGGTCTGGTGATCTTCGAACACATTTCGCAATGCCTATTTTTTGCCTTTTAGCTAAGATTCTAGCCAAAATTGTATTATATGTACGCAAGACACTTATGGGCCTAAAATTGTTTACTGAAGGTATGTCATTGCCGGAGTGCGGCTTGGGAATGAGTACCACTAGTAATTGGCGCACGGTGGGCAGTAAGCGTTTTCTTTAGATTATCTCCTCCAACACTTTCTGTAGGAGATGTTCTAACTCGTCGGGAGACATATAATATTCCGCACATATGCCGTCGGAACTGGGGTACTTGTTTGACGACATTTCCCGTATTGCCCTTCGGATTTCGTTTTCCGTAAATTCCGTGTAGGTTAAGGCTGATTGATTAACCTGCCCATTAATCGATTAATATTAGAATCACGATTAACTTGTTTAACAATTTAATTAGTTAAGTTTTGACAAACAAACAAAAATATCAAACTTACACCCTTTCACCACGCAGACGTGGTCTAGAACACATGTATGAAAGTAAATTGATCAAATTTCGCCCTAATGTAAGCTGTAGGTAAGAGAGTTTTAACTACAAACAAGCCGAGAACGTTATACGTGTCTCGGCCACTTCAACTCTGTACGAGTGTCTGTGTAGCGCAGCAGAGACTACTGTGAACAATCAAAAGAGCTTACTATGGTCGGAGAATATCAACGAACTCTGCCTCTGCGGCTGAAGTAGTTATTTATGAGTTTGAATGTTTCTAGACTGCTCTGAACTGCCCATCAAGGTGTTTTTAAACTCCGAAATTCTAAATTGCTCCGTGTGTCACATATTCTGCGAAAGTAAAAAATTTAATTTCGACGTATTTTAAACTACTATGCATAGGAATGAACAAAACTGATTAATTAATACATTTATGAGTGTCGAATAATCGGGTTCCGTTTTTTAATCCACGACTAGCCATAGTTACGGGTATTTGCGTACCCCTTGGCTTGCTTCCTTTTGAAGCTGCTGTAGCATATGCCTTCCGCAAGACGGCTATCGCAGACGTTTTGCTTTTGAAACGTTCGGACGTATATTCCTCTTCAGATATATTTGCAATATCCTCTTCAGTGGAAGCGCTTTGTTCGTTTTCGTCTTTTATCTTGCGGATGGTACTGCGCTTGATTCTTTGTTTCTCAAAGAACTGATAAAGCTTTGAAGGTAGTTCATCACGCTCGACCTGTTTTTCCCGGCGCCTCACCACAGCCCTGTAACTTTTTTTCATCGAAGTCAAAAGCTCGTATTTTATGGCTTTTTTACTCCTCTTTTTCGTCTTTTTTTTTGTTTTTTTTTTTTGTTTTTAATTACGAAATTTCTTTTGCCTTTTTTTCTCCATATGACCTTTCTTCACTTTTCACTACCGCCTTCGAATTCGTCCAGCTTTCAGTATCAAAACCCGAGTCTCCAGCTGCTAACCGCAGTTTTTTCTTTTATGATAGTTGAAATCTCTTCATCCTCAACGAGGCTCTCGTTTAAATTTCAGTGCCCACTAAAGTGCGTAGTTTAATGGTGGCTTGTGCCAGCCTTCCACTCAATGGTGACCATGCCATGGTCTGAGAAAGGAACAGGTGAAACATCGTTGCGGGCGTTTTTGACTTCAAATTCATCTAATATTAAAATTTCGTATAACCGCGCGATAGACTCACCAATCATCACGACCTTCGGAACTGCCAACACAATTTAAGTCACCGGCTAGAATGACCTTCGCCGGCGTATCAACCACAGAAATAATCAACTAGAAAAAAACTTTTCCGCTCACTCAAGTTGTTTTGCGAGTACACGCATATCACGCTTATCAAGGTGCCCGTTAAAATACAGTAGACACAGCTGATTCTGCGGCAATCGTCGTGTCCAATATCAGAGCATGCCCTCAAGAAATATTTCCTGAGAACAAACACCGCGCATCCTCCGCTTTATCCGCTCCAGTACGAAAGAAAAACCTAATAGTGTTTCTTGAAAACTTCAGGCGCTCTTTCTTCTTCCTCTCGTGTTTCAGTATTAGTTCATGAACACAGCGTAAATTAATCCGCTTTTCTAGCAACAAATCTAAAAGCCATTGATTCTGCATGGAATTGGATACCGAACTTAATACATTGAGTGTGCCAACGACTGTCATGATTGTGTTTTGGGATATCATATCACGCGGAAAATCTTGCCTTGTATAAGCAAT